GGGGGGGGAGCATGGTGCGTGGGCTTTATGCGGTCCATTCTTCCTTACCGTTAAAATCTTACAAAGCAGCCTTTTGAGCTACGAAGCCAGTTCTCGGTAGTACGAAGCTACTCGGTTTTCTTCACACTAAACCCTTATGTACTTTGTTGTGCATAATATGCAGGATTTCATGCAGCCACAGTTACATGCACCAAATTTCATGCATAACTGTGTAAAACTTCAGCATTGCTATGCACAAATTTGTGCATAGTGGCGTTAGTTTTGCATACTTATGCATGAAAAACTGTGCATAGCTATGGCTGCATGAAATCCTGCAAGTCTTATGCACAACAGAATGCATAAGGATTTAGTGTGTTCGTAGCTTACAAAGAAAATCCTTTGTCACAGATAAATGCTTTGTACACTTTCAAAAGTGTGCCATCCGATTGGATCAGGCCTTTCTGGCCGGGCTTTTGGGGCGCAGCAGGTGTAATTCCAGTCAACTGTATTTCGCTCGTAGATTTTGCGTGGTTTCCGTCGCTCTTCACGCCGCTTTTAATAGTGCACTGTTAAATTCCTACAAAGCAATCGCTTTGCAGAGCTGCGAAGTATTTTGCTCCTTTGTAACTACGAAGCATTTACGTTGCAATTACAAAGTGATGCTTTGTAATTGCGAAGCAATGAAAACGCCGCAACGCGTCGCTTTGCAATTGCAAAGTGTAACTTTGTAATTGCAAAGCATCACTTTGTAATTGCGAAGTTGAATGCTTCGTAGTTACAAAGGAGCAAAATACTTTGCAGGAATTTAACAGTGTGTCGTGACCATAAAAACCTCGACCGACGACTCGTGCACGGCCGGCCCCTCTCGGTGGCGGCGCTTCTCCGCACCTTTTGAATGGGCTCTTTACCCTCCGTAGTAGTAGTATGGGGTCGTTATCGTGCCGTTAACGTGTCGTCGCCCACCACAGGTTCGCGCCGCACCAGCAGCCCGCGCCCGTGAGCAGCAACAGCTTCGCGTACGCGCGCTCGCAGCAGCAGGCGGCCCAGCGCACCAACCCGCTCATCTCGCGCGCCAAGATCAACACCGTCAAGCAGACGGTGCTCGTCATCGCCATCTACATCATCTGCTCCGCGCCCTTCATCTGCGTGCAGCTGTGGGCCGCCTGGGGCAACGCCGACAACCCATTTTTTCGTGAGTCAAATCAAAGTGACTTGGTCGCGAGAGACGGGCACACCCAGAAATTGGTAACCTTGAAACAAAGGCTAAATGCGTTGCTTTAACGCTATTTTTACCTTTAAAAAATACAAGGAATATTGTGTTTGACTTAAGGCAAACTGCGTTAAAATAAAGGTAAAATTTCCTTATATCTACTTAATTACCTTGAAAATAACGGAAAAACCTTAAACGCCTTAAACCAAGGTCATAAATTACCTTGTGTTTTTCTTAAAAGAAATTTCCTTGGTTTAAGGATACCATTTTCTGGGTGTACTTCACTATATAATTTGAGTGAACACAAATGTTTTTAGTTTTCCTAGAATTTTCTGATTTCCTCTCCTTTTTCAATTTTTTCTATTGTTTTTTTTTTTTCAAATAAATTTTCCTTGTGTTTTTTTCTGAGTTGGTTTCGCTGGTGTTGCAGAGGGCCGATACATGACCATCCTCACGCTGATGTTCAGCCTCAACAGCTGCGTCAACCCCTGGATCTACCTGGCCTTCAACAAGGACCTGGTGCGCATGCTGTGGCTGCTGGTCTCGTGTCAGGGCGGCGCGCCCAGCGGCCACCCGCTGTCCGCGCACTCGGGCGGCTCGGGCTCCTCGCAGTCCAACACGACGCAGCACCGCACCTGCTTCACCGACCTGGCCAACAACCACGTGCCCGGGCCCGGCACCGCCTTCGGCAGGACCAGGTGAGTCATTGGGATAATTGGAATGTAATAATTGTCGGTAGTTGTTTGTTAACGCGTTCCGTTCCCACCGTGAGCCTCACGCTGGGATAGGAATTGTCATGTCGAAAACTGCAAAATTAGGAGATGAAGGATAAAAAGAAAATCCCCTAAAACTACTTTTTGGGGGGAAACTAGAATCCGTGCACTAACGGGAACGCACTGGGAAAAGCATTTTGTCCTATTAACCGAAAAAGTGTTGAATCAATGAAAATTTACTCCCTCAAGCCAACTAAACATTTGATCAAGAATTTTAAACAAAATATGACCAGGTCGATTACACCTTTAATCAACATGACTAAATCAAGTGATCAGGGCGACCAAAATTTGTCTTACGCAAGGAAAATTTTCTTGGCTTCCGTTTTTGTTGCGCGGATCAAAAGGTTTCCTGAGTGCGCATTCGGCTTTCAATTTACTAACATGTCCCCATACAAGGAAACCACCGCGTGGGGCCGAAGAGAGTAGGCGGCCGAGTGGGCGGCGACCTTCGTCGCGGTGGCATTGGCCCATAATTTGTTTGTGAAAGTAATCTTGCCGGACCGGAGCGGAGGGTGTCCTGATGACCACACGGCGACAGGTGGGGGTTGAAGTGTAATTAGGACTTTCACCCCAGGAGGAGGCGGAGCGGTCGGGTCGGCCCCACCCCCACCCCCCGCCCGCGTTTGCCTGCGCGCCCCGCTTTCACCTGCCGCTGGCGCTGTACAGCCCCGTGAGGGATGCTATGCTTCTATGGATTTCAAAGAATAAATAAGTCAGGAGCCCTTGTGTTGTGGATTCCCCGAAATCCTGCTCCTCTTCGCACTTCTCGGTATTGGCAAATTGTCAGTCCTTGCGAGTACGTATTGCGCCCCTTCCGAAGCGAAAAGCATTGATGTTATCCTATACTCCCCCCGGGCCGGGGATGCTATGCTTCTATGGATTTCAAAGAATAAATAAGTCAGGAGCCCTTGTGTTGTGGATTCCCCGAAATCCTCCTCTTCGCACTTCTCGGTATTGGCAAATTTTCAGTCCTTGCGAGTACGTATTACGCCCCTTCCGAAGCGAAAAGCATTGATGTTATCCTATACTCCCCCCGGGCCGGGCCCGACCGAAGGGGCGCACTTGTGTGCCTCCGCCCGCACAGCCTGGCCTCGGGGACCCTAGGGGAAAAGCCAGGGTGCACCGTCCATACTTTTGGACTACCCGCCGGCGGTCGGGGCGGGGGCGGTGCGGGCACGAACGAACACGAGGGCCGCGCCCCGGGCGGAACGGCCTGGACTTCCCTGGGCTGCGCCGCAACGCCACCGCCCGCGGCACCGGCGCGTGAGCGGCTAACTTTTCGGGACGCGTCAGGACGTGACCCCTCCTCTTCGCGAAGATTTCTCGCGGCACCACCGTACTTACGCCCCCCCAACAGCAGGCCTTCCCTTTTAGCCCTCCTCCCAACTACCCTCCCATCACGTCGCCCAACTCTACTACATTCCACCGCTGCGCATCGAGGGGAGCGAGCGAGAGAAAGGGAGAGAGACAGGCGTTTTGAGAGGAAAAATTGCCAAGTTGTGGGTCTTGGAACTGGTACGTGGTCTTTGTCCCGGTCCGCCCAGTGCCCCGTCCCCACCTGGCATTTCGGCGTGGTCTTCCCTCGTCTCTCTCCCTCATTCCCTCTCCCCGTCCCTCTTACTCCCCCCCCCTCCTCCGCTTTATTTTTCGTCGCCTTCTTCGCTCCTTTACTGTCCCGTCCACGGCCACCCCGTTGTGGACCCCTCGGGCGCAGTCTCCTCCAAACTTGGGCGTCGCGCTCCTTCTGGTCCTCCCCCTGCTGCTGCTTCTCCAGCTACTTGAACTACTGAGGTTATTGTTTTAGTGCTTGTTATTGACCGTGGTGGGCGAGGATAGGAGGCGTCCGGTGGGCACAGTGCGCGACCTAGATTCTATCACCTTATTTCTCATTGAATATAACTTGAAAACAATAATTCTTGTCAATAAAGTAAAGGTAGAACTTTTATCTGCAAATGACAATCTTGTCCTTCCCATCCTTGGAAGATTGGTAAAGTTAAAGCGTAGCTGGTCGGTGGTATGCGAGGCGGTGACGTCTTCTCCAAGGGCCTGTCCTCGGACTATTGCCCGCCTCCATACGAGAGCATTTTAATGTCGTGGCGAGGTATGAGGTATTGCGGCTCTGTGTGCCGTCGGCGTGCGGAGCGTGCCGGCACGCGCCCGGGCTGTACAGGGTTTTAAAGCAGGCGCCCGACTGGCCAACGCCCACCAGCACTGACCACCAGCACTGACTACCAGCACTGACTACTAGCAATGACCACCTGCACTGACAACCACCACCTGCCTACCAGCATTGCCCACCACCAGCAACCCCCTTCCATGCCCAGTCCCAGTCCTGCCCACAAAAACTGCCCACCAACATTGCCCACCAGCACTACCCACGAGCACTGCCCACCACCACCTCACTACCACGACCTCCCTACCACCACCTCTCCACCACCACCTCCACACTACCTACCACCTCCCCAATACCACCTCCCCACCACCACCTCCTCACCACCAACTGCCCACCACGACCTGCCCACCACCACCTGCCCAGTCCTGCCCACTAGCACTGCTCACTCCCACTGCCCCCCTCCACCGCCACCACAACTGCCCACCAGCGCTGGCTAGCGGGGCGTAGCACCATGTCTTGGGACGCCCCAGACCATAACAACGAGCGCTCAACTTTTAGCCCTATATCACCGCAGACCACAGAGAGGCCCCGCTGCTGTAGTTCTGCTTGGGAGCTTCCTCGCACCCATCTCTACTAATAGCTTTCGCCGCTCATCGTGCTCGTGCAGCGTTAGGCCCCTTTATCCAGCGAACCTGGATGTGCGATATTTTCATCACAACATTTTATTTGACAAGTCAGATGTGTGAAATCTGGTAAAATCGCTATTCTGGATACGTGATAATTTTTTTTCGCAAAAGCAAAAACACACGTTGTAAAAAGTACAGTGATAACTGTAAAAATAATTTTTGCTGTAAACCTTGCGATAAAAACATAACTTTATTTTGGCATCAATTTTCCGCTTTATATTTTACTCCATTATTATTTTGCATAAGTGATTATTTATTTCATTCAAGCGCAATAAATAACAGGTATCAGACAACAAAGTTAGGAATTGTGGTTAAACTTTGGCAGATCCAGGTCCATCTGCACCACGCGCTGCATAGTGAGGGGGCGGTGACGCGCGTAGGCGGGTGTGCGCAACGCTTCAGACCCAAGGCCGGAAGGACGAGAGGCCCCTCGCGGCCTCCTCCGCGCTGCTCCGGCACCCGGGGGCGTCCTCGTCTTCCAGTCGAGGGTCCTCTTGGTGGTGGGGGTTCCCGCGCTACAGCTGCAGCTGGGTAGAGAGCCGGCCCGGCCCCGGGGAATATGCGAGGGGTGGAGGGTCTTGTTGTTGCTGCAAGAGTGGTCTTGACCGTGACCGCACCACGGCTGCGCTGATCGAGGCTACGGACGGCGGGGGTGGCGGCTGCGACGACTGGCTGGCGGGGAGTTTGAAGAGGGAATGTGGGGGAGGGGGGAGGGAAGGTGCCGATACTCCGCGGAGACGGGCCGCTGCGGGGTATGTGCGGCGCCGCGACTCCACGCCGAGGGGCAGCAGCAGCAGCCGCCAGGGTCGCAGGCATACCAATGTTTCATTTCCTTTTACCCTCCATGTTCTGTCTTTCAATGGGGATGGGGAGAGGACTTTCTCGGGGTAGAGCGTGTACTAGTGACCGTCCGTGGGGTTCAAACGATGGGGCGCGCGCTATTCAAGTACGTGTATGTCGTTCCGAATGAAACGGCTCGTTGCTCGTACCCAATATTGACGACTCATTCCTATTGTTTTTCCTCTTCCAAAAGTACACCCCCTGCTGTCCATTTATCTCACAATAACATACACTTACACCCAAATTTTCGTCATTTTCTGACCAAACTGACAACGGTTCCCCATGTCCCCCAATGAGGGGACTCGTCCGCGAAGCGAGAGTTGACCTCCACGATCACTAGCCCTCCTCGCTTCCAGAACTTGCACGCACCGTACCCATAACACAAATTCAATGGTTGAAAAATGCAAATGAATGTGAAAATAAAAACAAATAAAAAAAACAAATACCGTGTCAGAATTCTCACAGGAAAAGAAAGATTAGCTGTACAGCTCAATCATTAGCTAGATACGGGATTTCTAAGTATTTAGCTATGTAGCTAAAATTGAGCCACATAGCTATTTTTACTAGCTACCCAACCAAATATAGAGTTACATGGCTATTTTTTGCAACATAGCTAATTCATTAGCTAAGTATAGCTAAAATTTAACCATGTTAGCCACCTACCTAAACGTTTGGCTACAGAGCCAAACTTGTAGCTACAGTGGGTCTAAGTGTTGTGCTGTCTGTCTTCAGGGACGGGGTGTCCGGGCTGCTGTACAAGGGCCGCGCCCTGAACGGCAACGGCCGCGCCAACGGCCACGCGCAGAGATAGCGGGGGCTGCCGGGCGCAGCTCCCCGGCGACACGCGGTGCTGGTGCGCTCGCGCCGGCACGCCAGCGGGCTGCTGCCAGCGCCGTCCGTCGTGGACCTCGACGCGCAGTCCGACTCGCTGTCGGCGGTGTCGCCGCTGCCCTCCCCCGCGGAGGCGAGCCTCTCCGAGCAGCTCTCCCTGCTGGAGGACATCGCCCGGGAGAGCGAAGTGTGACGTGAGGCTGCCCCTCACTTCTTGCAATGTTTTCTGGGGGTCTCACCGAGGTCTTTGTTTTATTATTGAGGGCCTGGCGAAGGCGTTTCGGTTGTCCTCGGCACCGGCCTAAAGTGCGCGTCGGCGCGTCGGTCGTTGGAATATTGGCTTCGTAGTGTCGTAATGTCGTTGGCACCGTCCTGACCTGGGGTGGGGGCGCCCTGGCACCGCAAAGTCACAAGTAAGTGGTCGTAAAGCAGGCCAGCCCACGGGGCCAGCCACCGAGGGGAAAGTGTTTTTAGCGGGGGGCTCTCCTGGCGAGGAGGGAGGATGGCTTCCTCCAGCGAACCTGCTCCGTCATGTTTTATGGAGGTTTTGGACTGTGATCATCGGATAGTAGCTGGGAAATATTATATTTATGTTACCAATGTTACTCTACTCGACCAGTATTGCATATAGTTCAAACAAATGTTTTAAAGCGAGGATCATGATCTAAGTGTATTGTGATGTCATAGCTAAGGCAAAGTTGCCGTGTGATTTTACAATGAATTTAATGACTGTTATGTTATTCTTCCAAAATTGTTTGCAAATTAGCTTTGAAAAAATGATTTCTATATATGTAAAATAAAAATGAGGCTTGGGTGAAGTTTTTCTGAAGTGCAGTTCAAAACACTGGCATAACTCAAAGGTATAAGAATGGCCTAAAGAATGACTGAATTTGTGACATTTTAAAAACCATCCATGTACTAGTCTCGTATTTTTTATTCTTTCCAATGGTTCTTGGGCTACTTTCTGGCGACATGAAGAATGCCTAAGTTTAAAATGATATAAACCGGTAGGCATGTAAGTCTCTTGAAATTTTCTTTGGCATGAGTTCTTTACGAAAGAAACAACAAACAAACCGTATATGGCAATGTCGCCAAATCATATTTTGCGATTCAGCCTATTTGCCCAAGCCTCGTAAAATAAGCCAAACTGAAAAAGTGTAAAATATATTTACACAGGTGAATAAATGTATTGTAATAATATTTTTCTTCGTATAAAAGCGTACATGTAATATAGTGTTCTGAAAAGTTTCACTTGAGCTTACTTATAAGACACTTTGTCTACATTTCTTACTGTAGCTGACTTTTTTTTACAAAGACGTGATTGGTGGCGGTGATGTGTGGCGAAATACAGGCTGTGTTTATGTTCCTGATAAATTGAGCCTTTAATTCCTCCGCCTACTTTCTGCTTTGCAGTACGGTGGCGGTGGCAACGATACATTAAAGAGAGGTCGTCAGTCATCATATAACCAACTTTACTAAGAAAAATCACATTGGCTATTAGTTAAACAAATCACAAAGATTACTATAAGGGTAACGTGAACAACAAATGTTCAAGCACTCTACTCGACAGATGGACAACAAATAAGAAAATAGTAACTCTAACACCACAACTTGGCTCTTTTGACACGAAGAACAGTTAAGATGTGACATATATATAATACAAAACAGAATACTATCACATGGTGCTTATGGATCGGCATTTCCTACTTTGCTCATCGCCTTAGTCCTATCCGCTAGCGATGCACTTCAACTTGCGGCCCGTTGGCAGCGGCGGCGGCGGCCACGACGCAGATGGGGCTGCAGGCTGATCCCTCCAGGCTGCCAACGTGATTATTCGCCGGGGAGCTCAGCTGCAGTGAGGCAGATTCCGCCGGCGCCTTCTCTGGACCGCCGCTGGTCCTCGCGGGCTGCTGACCTGCAACAGGCAACGTGGCGGTGAGTGAGGGGGGGCTCTTCACTGAAAGTCGGGGAGTGGTGAAAGTGCGCTCGCCGGAGACCGACTTTTTGTGACTCCCAGGGGAACAACATTTGTGAGAGTTGCTTGTTATGAGTAGCTTTTCTGACATTTGGAAAATTTTCCCATAAAACTACGATTATTTTT